TTGGGGTTTAGGTTTTCGGGTTTGGAGTTTGGAGCTTAATCCAAGTCACCATAGTATGGATATAGCAAGAAATGCGGCTTCCGTATGAGGTAGATGGGGATGTCGCAAGAAAGATAGCGTCCTTATAACGGTATCTTACATGAATAGGGATGTCGTAAGAAAGATGTCTCCTTCGAATGGTAACTTAAGTTAAGTTCGGCAACAGGCACCAAGGAACATCCTTGACACGAGTATCTGGGCTCACCCGCCAGCGAGCAAGACAGCTAGATTCGTGATCAGAGAACCTAGGCTCAGACTCCTCTTGACGAAGCAGAAAACTTAATCTTTTGGGATGCCTTTGACAGGCAACCAATAACCAAAACAAGAAAACTACAGTATTCACCCAAGGATAATTAGTGAAGGAACTGAAATTGATCGCTAGAACTGCTTGCTGCCAGCTGTGCTGACCTGGTCCTCGCTGCCCTCATAGGCCCGGAACATCTAGCATGATTGGACCATGTGCCACCGATAAAGCACCAGCACTCCTTTCCGACAAAGGCCTTCCCCAACAAAACAGGAAACAGCAAAAGATGCCGCAAGCGGCGGGAGCCAGCTCTACTTGCCCAACCTCTCAGCGCCATAGCTTCCAAAGCCTAGATTTGCCTACACTGAACGGCTACGCAATGCTACGCAAAGCACAAGCCAAGTAAGGAAGAAGTCAAATTCTTCCGTCGTCATTGTCATCATCATCAGTAGTAGTGTGAAATCTGGGAACTACTGCGTTCTTGTAGTAATGGTAGTAGTTGCTCTTGCTGTTGCTGTACAAAAACTAGTTTTTATTACTTCCAGTTAACCCTCAGACCCAAACCCTAAGCCCTAAACTGCTATTAGTTTCAGTAATGAGTAATGCTACTTTGAGTGGCCGGATAATAACCCCATTCATGACCTACAAACAAAAGCTCTTGGGCCTTCAAGTAAGAATGGCTCGCTTCTTTGCGTGGATAGATCCAAATCAAGCCCTAAACTCTCAACC